TAATTTGCGAACAAGAGTAGTTAACTCCGCCTTTAATGAGGAGATCTGCAGTGCGCGTCACCCAGTAGAAGTCCCGGCCGCCGTCTTTGGCGTTTTGCAGAAAAAACCCGACATCTCCGAAGCCCAAGTACCACTTTTCGGGTGTAATTACACCTTTTTGAACCTCATTTTCGGTTTTATTTCCATTTTTTAACTCCATTTTCTTTTTTCTGCACTCCGAAGGCTTCAAATAACCCAGCATTACGTTGCCCCCCCTGCAGATCAGGTAGCCGCACTCCCCCTCTTCGCAGTCTTGCTGCAGCAGCGCAACAAAATGGATTTAATTCATTTATTTATTTATTTCAAACTTTTATTTCTTTTTAAAATTCATTTTTGCTTTCAATTGCGCCATTTGGCTCGTTTTCCAGCAGCTGCGTTCGCCCGCTGCAACTAATTTGCTGCCGATGAAGTGCGTTTGAAAGGACAGTTTTCGTTCAATTTAATCCAATTTGATTCAATTAAATTAATTTAATTAATTTAATTTAATTAATTTAATTTAATTCATTTAATTTTATTCATTTTAATCCACTTTTACCATATAACCTTCTTCTCCCTCCTTGGTGCTTTTAACCACTCGCATTTCCGTGAGCCCTTTGTGCGGGCGGCCGATGAAGAATCCGATTTTGTTTTCTTCATTTTGTTTTTTTGTTCGAAGTTGATTAATCATTTTAACTTTACTCTCCACTTTGTTTGTTTGAAGTTGATTAATCATTTTAACTTTATTCTCCACTTCTCCAGCTGCATTTTCATCGGACTGCCGTTCTCCCAGCCCTTCTGCTGCTGCTGCTGCTGCTGCTGCTGCTGCTGCTGCTGCTGCTGCTGCTGCTGCTGCTGCTGCAGTTGCCTCTGCGTCTTTTCCAGCTTCGCTAAGGCCGCTGCTGCTGCTGCTCTTTTTGCTTCCATTTGTCTCTTCAAATGTCTCCAAAGTCCCTTCCCGTGTCTGACACTCCCCTGCTGCTGCTGCTGCTGCTGCTGCTGCTGCTGCTGCTGCTGCTGTTGTGCCTTTTGCTGCTGCTGCTGCTGCTGCTGCTGCTGTTCCTTGCCACCCCCGCCGCATCGCTTCCAGCTGCTCCTCATCTGACATCCAGTGTGGAACCGAAGCAACCTGAATAAATAAATAAATTAATTAAATAATAAATAAATAAATAAATAAATAAATAAATAAATAAATAAATAAATAAATAAATAAATGAACAAATAAAAGCAAAAATAGTACAAATTAATCCATTTAACTGACTTAATCCACTTAATTGATTTAATTGATTTCATTGATTTAATCCATTTAATTGATTCCATTTAATTGATTTGATTTATTTAATTGATTTAATTGATTTTAAGTATTTATTTAATTCATTTAATTCATTTAATTCGCAATTAAATTAATTAAATCAAATTAAATTAATTTAATTTAAATTTAATTATTTCAACTAATTTGACTCCTTTGATTTATTTCCAAAGCTGAAGCAAACAAAGTTGCTGCCCACGAATTCAATTAATTAAATTAAATGAATTTAATTAATCAAATTAATTAATTAAATTAATTAAATTAATTAAATTAATTAAATAATTAAATAATTAAATAAATAATTGTTTAATTAATTAACTCACCTGCAAAGTTGTCTCTGTGGAGCCAAACCGAACTTTGGGAACTTTGTGGAGGAGAGTTTGGAGTGTACGTACACTGGAGGGCCCCACAGGCGCGGAGCCGAGCAGCAGAATTAAATTTATTTCTTTTTCTTTTTCTTTTATTTCATTTATTATATTTTCTTTTTCCAACTTTCCCTCCAAGTGCAAGTTCCACAAAAAGTCTATGTGGCGAGACACCAGCGGAGCCACCACGCGGCACCTGCTGCTTCTTGCTGCTGCTGCTGCTGCTGCTGCTGCTGCTGCTGCTGCTGCTGCTGTGGGTGGTGATGGTGGGGCTTCTGCTGCTGCGGCGGCTGCTGCAGCTTCAGGAGCAGCAGCTGCAGCAGCAGCGGCGCCGGCTGCTGCTGCTGCGGTGGCCGGGGGAAGAGCAGCAGCAGCAGCAGCAGCAGCAGCAGCAGAAGCAGCAGCAGAAGTAGCAGCAGCATCTTTACAAGCAACGCACAGCACTTTCCAATAGGTGGTGCGGTATCTGCAGCAGCAGCAGCAGCAGCAGCAGCAGCAGCAGCAGCAAAAGGAGAGAAAAGAGAGAAACCATATTAACAATTAAATCTCTGTAATTGAGAATTTAAAAAATGAGAAAAAAGACAAATAAAAAGATATAAAACGAAATAAATTAAAAAATTAAAGAGAAATAAAACAAAAAACAAAAAGGACAAATAAATTATTTTCTGATTTAAAAAGTGAAATAACAATTAATCAATTAATTAATTAATCAATTAATTGATTAATTTATTAATTTATTAATTTATTAAACAACGAATGAATCGACGGATCAGCTAATAAACCCCAAACCCTAAACCCCAAACCCTAAACCCTAAACCCTAAACCCTAAACCCTAAACCCCAAGTTCCAAAGTAGTTGCCCAAGCGGCTCGTTGAAGAGCTCTTTTCGCGTTTTGAAAAGCCAAATGGCGACCAAAGCAAAATAAATAAATTAAATAAATAAATTAAATTAATTAATTAAATAAATTAAATAAATTAAATTAAATAAATAAATCAAATTAATTAAATTAAATTAAATAAATGTTTATCACCTGCTCAAAAGATGCACTGAGCTGCTGCAGCGCAGCAAAGCTGCTTCGAAGAAAACGGAAGAGTTGATGTGGTGAAAAGGGTTTACAAGAAAAAGAAAAAAGTCTTTTTTATTTTCTTTTTTATTTTCTTTTTTTATTTCTTTTTTTATTTCTTTTTTTATTTCTTTTATTTCTTTTTTTGTTTCTTCTTTTGTTTCTTCTTTTGTTTCTTTTTCCTCTTCTTCCAAAACCCCCAACGCGTCCCACACGCAACGCGCCGCAGTCCACAGGTTCCTAAACCACAAACCCTAAACCCTAAACCCTAAACCCTAAACCCTAAACCCTAAACCCTAAACCCTAGACCGTGGACCCTAGAGCGTTAACCCGAAACCCTAAACCCTCAGGCTTCAGCGCTGAGGCGCTCTTCTTGAGTGCCGGAGCCTCGAAGCTAGCGAGTAAACCCTAAACCCTAAACCCTAAACCCTAAACCCTAAGCCCTACAGTGCAGATGCGACTAGCCATTCTACCGGGATCTCTAGGCGCTAAACCCTAAACCCTAAACCCTAAACCCTTACCCGTAAGAAAGTCGAGCGCCTTTGGGGTCGTTGGTGGTTCCAGAAGTGAATACGACCTGAAGAGCGAAAAAGAAAACCCTAAACCCTAAACCCTAAACCCTAAACCCTAAACCCGAAACCCTAAACCCTCGAATGTGAACGCTCAGCCTTGATCTGTACACCCAAAACCCTAGGCCTTTGGGCTTAGTGTGCAGCTCTATACCTAAAGTGCAAGCTTGCAAGTCCGGCAGAGTTTAAACTCTGTTTTGGGGTTTAGGGTTTAGGGTTTAGGGTTTAGGGTTTAGGAGCTACGGTGTAATACTCGGGGCCTAGGGTTGCGGGCTAGAGACCAAAGGTTTGGAGATTAGGGTTTAGGGTTTGGGGCATGCTGCGCAGGGTTTGATGCCCAGCGCACAGGGCCTAGGCTTTAGGGTTTAGGGTTTAGGGTTTAGGGTTTAGGGTTTAGGGTTTCTTACCATTCTTTCCGAGTCTGCTGTGAGGGTTTCTTGTTCTTTCGCCTTTGACTGCTGCCAAAAGTTTATTTCTTTTTCCATTTCTTCTTCTTCTATTTTTGTTGTCAAATCCTCAATATGGACTATTCGACTAGCAGCAACAAACTGCAACAAAACAAGGGTTTAGGGTTTAGGGTTTAGGGTTTAGGGTTTAGGGTTTAGGGTTTAGGGTTTACGATACCTTGACATTGTTTTCTTTTGTTTGTTCGCGCAGCAAATCAATTTTTGCTTCTTCAAAAGAGTCATCGAAAATAACAGCAGCGCATTCCGCCGTTTCTATTTTGTACAAAACCCTCGCTGGCCTGAAGCAGCAAAATATTTAGGGTTTAGGGTTTAGGGTTTAGGGTTTAGGGTTTAGGGTTTAGGGTTTAGGGTTTAGGGTTTAGGGCAGTGGTCAGCTTAGGGTTTAGGGTTTAGGGTTTAGGGTTTAGGGTTTAGGGTTTAGGGTTTAGGGTTTGCGGTTTAGGGTTTAGGGTTTAGGGTTTAGGGTTTAGGGTTTAGGGTTTAGGGTTTAGGGTTTAGGGTTTTGTGTTTAGGGTTTAGGGTTTAGGGTTTAGGGTTTAGGGTTTAGGGTTTAGGGTTTAGGGTTTAGGGTTTGGCTTGATAAAGAACGATTCGTTTACCCGCTGCCTCCTCAGCCCGCCCCTCGGCCTCCAGGCCTCGGGCCTAGGGTTTAACGCCTAGGGTTTAGGGTTTAGGGTTTAGGGTTTAGGGTTTAGGGTTTAGGGTTTAGGGTTTACGTGTCGGAGTCCCAGTTGATGGTGACGACGGAATAGCCCGAAAGAGCAGCAGCAAACCTCAAAACCGAATCCTCCAATTTGTTGGAATTAAAATAATGCGCCAAACGAAACCCTTTTAAAAAAGAAAAAGATTTAAATGATTTAAAATGAATTTTAAATTATTTAAATTAATTAAAAATGAACTTAAAATGAATTTAAAATGATTTAAAATGAATTTTAAATTATTTAAATTAATTTAAAATGAATTTAAAATGAATTTAAATGAATTTTAAATTATTTAAAATTAATTTAAAATGAATTTAAAATGAATTAAAATGAATTTAAAATGAATTAAAATGAATTTAAAATGAACTTAAAATCTATTTCAAAAAAATTTAAATTATTCAAAATGAAGTTAAAATTAATTTAAAAAGATTTAAAATGATTTAAAACGAATCAAATTAATTTTAAATTAATTTTAAAATTAATTTAATATTAACCTAAAATAAATTTAAGAGGAATTAAAAGTGAAATTGAACAGAATTAAAAAGGGATTGAACAAGAATTCAGAAAGAGTATTAAACAGAATTAAGATTAATATAAAATTAATTAAAAAAGAATTCAAAATAAATACAAAATGAATTTAAATGAATTAAAAATAACTAAAAATAATTGAAATGAATTAAAATAAATTTAAAAGAATTAAAATGAATTAAAATGAATTTGAAAAAAATTAAAAAGAATTAAAATGCATTAAAATGAATTAAACTGAATTAAAAAGAATTAAAATGAATTAAGATGAATTAAAATGAATTAAACAGGTTAAAAGGAATTAAAAAAGATTTAAAATGAATTAAAAATGAATTAAAATGAATTAAACCAAAAATAAACTTTTAATTCTTTTTTAAATAATTAAAAAAGAATTAAAAGTTTATTTTTGGTTTTTTTCTGACTTGAATTCTTTTCGTTTCGGACTTGCATTTATTTTGAAGTTCTTCTTTTATATTCACATTCATGTTTCTCAAATTATTTAATTAATCAAATTAATTAATTAAATTAACTAATTAAATTAATTAATTAAACTACTTGATTAATTAATTAAATCAATTAATTAAATTAATTAATTAAATTAATTGATTAATTAATTAAATCAATTAACTAGGTTAATTAACTAGTTAATTTAATTAATTGATCAAATTAAATAATTAATTTCATTATTTAGTTTATTTAATCAATTGATTAAATTAATAAATTAGAATAATCAGTTAATTAAATTAATTGAATCAACCAATTAATTAAATTCATTAATTGAATTAATTAGCTAATTAAATTAACTAATTAACTCAACCGAGTTAGTTAATCAATTTAATTGATTAATTAAACTAATTAAATTAATTAATTGATTTAATTAATTAATTAAACTAATTTAATTAATTAATTAATTAATTAACATAATTAATTAAACTAAATGAATTAGTTAATCAATTTAATTAATTAATTAAACTAATTGAGTTCATCAAACAATCCAATTAATTAATTAAGCTAATTGAATTAATTAATTAATTTAATTAATTAAAGAATGAATAAACAAACAAGAAAAGAAATAAATGATTTAATTATTTTGCCAATTAAGAAAACAGTTTTGAATTAATTCGATTGCCAACTATTCGAATTGCAGAACAGCTAAGTAAACAAAGAAATGAATAAATAAATGTAATTAAATAATTAAATAATTATTTAATTATTTAATTAAATTAATTAATTAATTAATTAATTAATTAATTAATTAATTAATTAATTAATTACAAACCCTGCAAACTGGCAATTTGCAATTCTTGCTGCAGCCGGCGAATGGCCCGCAGGGCTCCGAAGAGGAAAGACGCGCGGGAAATCCATTTGATATTTTCTGCATTTATTTCCGAATTTTGGATCTAAAAACGCGAAATAAAATAAAAAATAATAAAATAAACATTAAAACTTCTTAAAAGCGTTTAAAAAACGCCAAAAGAGTGGAAAAAAGTGGTTTATTGAGCGAGAGTTCAAAAGTTGAACGCAGAAATCGAGATGGGAACCAATTTGCGAATTGTTTCGAAGAAAATGAAATATTCGAAACGCAAATTAAAGAAAGGAATTTAATTTTTTAAATTAATTATTTATTTGGAAAAGAAAAACGAAAAAAGGCTCTGAAGACTTCCTGTTCTTGTTTTTCGAGTGGGCTTCAAATGAATAAAACAAAGAAATAATCCTTTCAAACCCAATTTTAATTATTTAAATAGATTAATTGGATATTTTGGAGGTCTGAGAGAAGATTTAATTGCAAAGAATCGGAGAAATAGAGAAAAGAATGAAAAAATTGAATTATAGAGCAGCAAATGCAGCCACCAGCTTTGGAATTAAGTGACTAGGCAGCAGTCAAAAGAGGCTTTTCTTTCTTTCCCCTCCATTTATTTATTTATTTATTTATTTATTTTAATTTTAATTTTAATTTTAATTTTAATTTTGTTTTTCGAATTACCTTTTCCAGATCCCAGTAGCAGATGAAGGGGGAAGCGCGCCAGGCGGGGTTTGCAAAAGCCTGGAAGTACTCAGTTGAGGGGTCTTTCTGGGAACCAGAACACGAGCTGCAAATGGCATTTTCGCCGTTTGTTTGCGAGGAATTCATTTTATAAATGCTGGAAATATATAAAGGATTCTTTTGGTTCAATTCCAATGGCTTTTACGCGGGAGAAAACGTTAAAATGGAAAAAAGTCCTAACAGGCAAAACCTGAATTCCGGTCTATTGGCTGCTGGCGGCGACGATCACGCGTTCGCACAGCCGTCGAAGTTGGTTTTAAATTCTATTTTAAACGACAAATTCTTTTTAATTATTTTTGTTTTTCTTATTTTCGCATTAAAGGCGAAAAAAGGCAAAAAAGAAACAACGCCTGCGGCTCTGCCGTAGCAGCAGCAGCAGCAGCAGCAGCAGCAGCACGGCAGCAGGCAGCAGCTCGTAGCGCCATATTTCTCGCTCTAATGCCTTCAATTGTGCAAATAAATTCATTTGATTTATTAAAATGCGAAGTTTTAAGACCTGCAGTTCAGTTTATTCGGACAAAATCCGAAAAGTCCCATTGTTGAACTTTTCGTGTTCTGTTCTGCACACGCCGCCGGTGACCTCTGCGCTGAACCCGGAAAGCTGCTGCAACTTGCTGCATTTCTTTGTCCATTTGATTTAATTTTAAGTTCGTTTTAAGTTATTTAATTTAAATTTGAAAATTAAAATGATTTAAATGAATTATTTTCCTCCTGAGCCCCCCAAACCAGCGCTGACGCCACTTGCTCTGCAGCCGGCAGCTGCAGCAGCAAATTTGAATTTGAATTTCGAATTTATTTCGACAATTAAAACACAAATTTGAAACTCTTTTTATTTTGCTTCTTCAGAATAGTCTTAGAGAAGCTGCAGACTCAAATTGCTGCTTTGCATGCAACTCTATTCCTCTTTATTTGCTGCTGCACTTCTTGTACAATAAAGTGTCTTTTGTTTCTTTCGATTTGCTGCAGCAGCAGCAGCAGCAGGCGCAAACAGCTACAAATGTTAGGGATTAGGGTTTAGGGTTTAGGGTTTAGGGTTTAGGGTTTAGGGTTTAGGGTTTAGGGTGCAACGTTTAAGGCATACGGTTTAGACTTTAAGGTTTAGCGCCTAGGGCTTAGGGTTTAGGGTTTAGGGTTTAGGGTTTGGTCCACTGTAAAAGCTACGTGAAGTTCGTGTACAATTAATTTGTTTAGGGTTCAGGTTTTAGGGTTTAGGGTTTAGGGTTTAGTAATTATCTGCGGTTTATTTATTTTCACATCAGTAAATTAACACTTTTAATAAAACATTTTTTATAATTTTAAAATTAACTATTTTCGGCTCCAAAGACTAGAAAACATGGCTCGACGCAGAAGCACTTCAGATCAGGGTTTAGGGTTTAGGGTTTAGGGTTTAGGGTTAAGGAGTCAGGGTTTAGGGTTCAGGGTTAGGTCGACAGGGTGTAGTGCCTAGGCTTACGGCTTAGGGTTTAGGGTTTAGGGTTTAGGGTTTGGAGGGCGGGGGGTTTATCACTTAGAACTAAATGCCTAGGGTTTAGAAGGTGGGGTTTGTGTTGGCTGGGGCCTTAACGCTCGCTAAACCCCAAACCCTAAACCCTAAACCCTAAACCCTAAACCCTAAACTCTAAGCCTTGCTTGGGACAACGACTGACGTTGAAGGGTTTCACAGCAGCAGCAGTCTGGCAGCTGCAGATTAGCAGCCGCAGCAGCAGCTGCTGCTGCAGCAGCAGCTGCTGCTGCAGCAGCAGCAGCTGCTGCAGCGCATGTGCAGCAGCAGCATTAGCAGCAGCAGCACAAAAAGACAGGCCTCTTAAAGAAAGCAGAAGCAACAGTAGCAACAGCAGCAGCAGCTGCAGCAGGACGATCAGCAGCAGCGGCAGTTGCAGAAGCAATGGAGCTGCAGCAGCAGCAGTGGCCCTTGCAAAGTAGAGAAGCAGCAGCTGCTGCCGCAGCAGCTGCTGCCGCAGCAGCTGCTGCCGCAGCAGCTGCTGCCGCAGCAGCTGCAGCGACCGCATCTCCCGCAGCAGCAACTGCCGCAGCAGCTGCAACGACTGCTGCTGCAGCAGCAACAGGTGCAGCATCATAGCGGCTTCAGCCGCACTACCAGCAGCAGCAGCAGCAGCAGCAGCAGCAGCAGCAGCAGTAGCAGCTCCCACGCTGCTGCTGACTCTTTCTTTGTTTTAATTAATTTAAAAGTGTAAGGACACTCGAGTTGGGTCCTTGTGGAGCGCTGTGCGCGGCGCGGGTTCAGGTGTACGTACACTGGAGCACGTGGAGTGGTGGAAATCGAGCTCGTCGATTTTCGCCTTTTCGGGGCTCTTTTTGCGCGTAATTGCGGCGCAAAGGTTAAAAGACTATAAATTAGTTTTCTAAAACTTTAAAAAGAGGAAAAATGGGGGGAGGAAGGGCCGCCATGGCGCTGCGGCGGTGGTTGGCTGTGTGCGCGTGGCGGCTGCGGATCTGTGCACGAAGATAAAGAAACTGCAGATAATCTAGGCTCATCACCCCTCGTTCGAGAGGTAATTTCGCGAAAACTTCGATTGGAATAATAGTTACCGGGGAATATCTTTATTTCATGCTGCTTTCCCGTTTGAGCGACTGCCGCCGATGGCTCGCGACAGCTGGGTGGCGCGGGCGGGCCGCAAAGGCGTCGATTGCGCGCCTGGGGCCCAGATAGCGGGGTCTTTGGAAAGCTTATTGGAAATCAAAGTTAATTGCGGGGAGAAAGCAGCAAAAAAAGCGGAGAAAAGTGGAAAAAAAGAGCTTTCGAGCCCGTTTGCAGAAGCAGCCGCGGCGGCGCGCGGCGGCGACCGCTGGTCGGGTCACCCCCGCACCAGTGGTGAGCTTCCGGCGCTGGCGGTTTCTTTGGGCCATTTTGCTGCAGCCGAGAGCTTCACAATTCTTGTTTTAGTCATTTCGAGTAATAAATAATTGAATTTGCCTTCTTAGTTGTTGCACTAGCCTCGCCCAGCTTCACCATGGCTCCCATGCTTCTCAAGGGCCTCTGCGCGCTTGCTGCAGTTGCTGCCATCAGCAGCAGCGCTGCAGCGCCCCCTGCTGCCGAAGGCGGCAGCAGCAGCAGCAGCAGCAGGTCCGAGCTTGCTGCTGCTCGTCCGGCCGGCTCTGGCGGGCTTCGCGGCTCCCTGGGCGAGCGCGAGGAGCCCCGCCGCAGCAGCAGCAGCAGCAGCAGCAGCAGCAGCGACGCAGCTCTGGAGTCTCTGCTTTCTGAGCCTGAGACCATCGAGCTTGCTGCTGTGGCTCTTTCGAGCATAAACACCTTTTGGCTGTCTTTGACGCCGGAGGCTCGCGAGGAGCTGCTGAAGGACATCGGCAGCAGCAGCAGCAGCAGCAGCAGCAGCAGCGGCAGGCAAGAAGAAGATGTTGCTGACGAAAAGGCAGAAGAGGAGGACCAAGGATTGTCCGGCGGGCGCCGCCCCAGCAGCAGCAGCAGCAGCAGCAGCAGCAGAACTCTGACAGAAGACGCAGCTCTTTTCCGCGTGCTGCAGCGGCTGGAGGACTCCCCCGCAGCAGCAGCAGCAGCAGCAGCAGCAAGCAGCACGAGCACCTCGACAGCAGCTCCCGGCGAGCGGCTGAGCACTGCAGCAGCGGCGTTTCTGCAGTCGTCGACCGCAGCAGCAGAGCTCGACAGCAGCAGCAGCAGCAGCAGCAGCAGCAGCAACGGGTTCGTGGAAATCGACATTTTCGACGTTGCTGCAGCAGACGCAGCAGAAGATGATGCCCTCGAAAGACTGCAGCAGCAACTCAGTTCTCTCGACATGAATGAAAGTGAAGTCTTGATGGCTTTTAGATCTTTTATTCGGCGCTACGGGCAGCAGCTGCAGCAGTTCGACCAGCAGCTGCAGCAGCAGCTGCACAGCGGGGCCTTCCAGCAGCAGCTGCAGCAGCTGCGCGAGGCGGTGCAGCAGTTCCAGCAGCGCCACCCCGAGCACTCTGCTGCAGCAGCAGCAGCAGCAGCAGCAGACAGCGACCGCGAGGAAGCTGAGGACATTGCGGGCCAGGGGCTCAAGCACGAGGAGGAGCGCAGCAGCAGCAGCAGCAGCAGCAGCACCAGCACTGCAGCACCCCACAGCCGCAGCAGCAGCACGGAAGCTGGCGAGGAGAGAGAGAGAGAAGGCAGCAGCAGCAGCAGCAGCAGCAGCACCAGCACCACCACTGCTGCTCCCCATGCTTCCACACTAGCAGCAACTCTCGTCGGCAGCGGAGTCACCGAAGCAGCAGAGAGCAGCAGCAGCAGCAGCACGAGAGCAGCTGAAGAGGAGCGCAGCAGCAGCAGCACGCGAGCAGCTGAAGAGGAGCGCAGCAGCAGCAGCACAAAAGCAGCTGAAGAAGAGCGCAGCAGCAGCAGCACTGCAGCAGAACACAGCAGCAGCAGCAGCAGCACCATTGCAGCAACTCTCGTCGGCAGCGGCGTCACCGAAGCAGCTGAAGAGAGCAGCAGCAGCAGCAGCACTCACGCAGCAGAAGAAGAGGGCAGCAGCAGCAGCAGCACCCACGCAGCAGAAGAAGAGAGCAGCAGCAGCAGCACCCTCAGCAGCAGCAGCAGCAGCAGCACGTCCACCACCACCGTCGCGCCCGCGCTTCTCTTCGGCAGCGGCGTCACCGAGGCAGCAGAGGGCAGCAGCAGCAGCAGCAGCAGCAGCAGCACGGAAGCAGCCGAGCGCATCAGCAGCAGCAGCAGCACGAGAGCAGCCGAACGTGAACACAGCAGCAGCAGCACAAGAGCAGCAGAACATGAGCGCAGCAGCAGCTCCACCAGAGCCGTCTAAGCGGCTTATTGAGTGTCCTTTAATGCAGCAGCAGCAGCAGCAGCAGCTGCAGCAGCAGCAGCAGCAGCTGCAGCAGCAGCAGCAGCAGCTGCAGCAGCAGCAGCAGCGCGTGTCTTTGTACACAGTGTTGTGAGCGCAGTGTATGTACATGCCTCTAAGTGTACACTTGTTATTTGTTTGCATGTTTACATTTATTTATTTATATTTATTTATTTGCAAATAAATAAATAAATTAATTATATTTATTTATTTGCAAATAAATAAATATATTAATTATATTTATGCATTTCAAATGAATAAATATTTCTTTCGGGTGTACATGAATGCCTGTCTGTTCATGAGCCCAGCTGTACGTACACCCCGTCTCTGCAGAAGCCGAACAAAGGAAATGAACAAAAAGAAATAAAATTAAATATTTAAATAATATTTATTTATATATTTATTTATTTATTTAATAAATAAATAAATAAATAAATATTTAAATATTTATTTTATTTCTTTGTTCATTTTATCTGTTTGCCGCTCGCATCGAGACATCTGCACATTATTCTAGATAGTGTTTGTTTGCAAGCGCCCACACCCATCCCAAGACCCCAAACCCTAAACCCTAATTTAGGGTTTAGGGTTTGCGGCTTGGAGCCCTCCACAGCGTCGCCCAGAG